CTTTATTGAGTTTTCACAAATCAGGAAAAGGTTTCACAAATCCCAAAGATAGTTTTAAATATCCAGCTTGAAGAGGAGAATAATCTAGTCCAGGTTTGAAGAGTCTAGGTGTTGTAGATTTGGAATTAGACCAGTCCTAGTGTGATCCAGATGCCAAAAACAGTGATTATCGAACTTTCTTGAGTTTTCACAAATCAGGAAAAGGTTTCACAAATCCCAAACATGGTTCTAAATATTCTGCTTGAAGAGAAGAATAATCTATTCCAGGTTTGAAGTGTCTAGCTGTAGTAATTTTTTAATTAGAGCAGGTCTATGGTGATCCAAATGAAAAACAAATGTTGAAATTCAAATTTTACTGAGGTTTCATAAATCAGAAAACTGTTTCAAAAATCCCAAACATGGTTTGAAGTGTCTAGGTGTTGTCGTTTTTTAATTAGAGCAGTATTAGTGTGATCCAGATGCAAAAAAGTGGTAAAATAAACCTATGTTGAAGTATCACAAATCGGATAAAAGTTTCACAAATCACAAACATGATTCTAAACATTCTACTATTAGAGCAGAATAATTTAGTTCAAGTTTGAAGAGTCTAGGTGTTGTAGATTTGGAATTAAAGCAGCTCCTGTGTGATCGTGACCGAAAAATAGGGCAAAATTGCCCTTTTTTGAAGTTTCACAAATCAGAAAAAAGTTTCACAAATCTCAAACATGGTTCTAAATATTCTGCTTGAAGAGAAGAATAATCTATTCCAGGTTTGAAGTGTCTAGCTGTAGTAGTTGTTTAATTAGAGCAGATCTATGGTGATCCAGATGCCAAAAAATGGTCAAAAACTAACTTTATTGAGTTTTCACAAATCAGGAAAAGTTTCACAAATCACAAACATGGTTCCAAATATTCTGTTATTAGAGAAGAATAATGTAGTCCAGGTTTGAAGTGTCTAGGAGTTGTAGTTTTTTAATTAGAGCAGTTTTAGTAATGAAAGAGGTGCTAAAAATGATGAAAATTGAAATTTAATAAGTTTTCACAAATCAGAAAGAAGTTTCACAAATCCCAAACATGGTTTTAAATATTCTGCTGTTAGAGAAGAATAATCTAGTCCAGGTCTAGGTGTAGTAGTTTTTAAACTAGAGTTGATTAAAGATGTGAAAAGTAGCGGAAAGTAGTGAAAAATTAAGTGGAATTGCCCTTTAGCTATTGGAAGCTAGAATTGGAAACCAACTTCAGCTTCGTGGTGGCAACCCCAGTCCATCCATCCATCCATTTTCTGAACACCCTTGTCCCTCAGTGGGGTCGGGAGGGGTGCTGGTGCCTATCTCCAGCTAACGTTCCGGGCGAGAGGCGGGGTACACCCTGGACAGGTCGCCAGTCTGTCGCAGGCAACCCCAGTCTATACTATAAAATTCTGATTAAGATTAGAGCCTAAATACGTTCTATTTCCAAACCAGAAAGGCTACGTAATGTTAGCCAGCTAACAAATTACTATTGCTAGCCTAGCATATCAACTAACAGCTAGAAAAAACCAAAACACGTACCGTCGTAGTCAAACTGGTATCAATCAGCGAGGAATTTGTCCAGTTTAGATTATGTTGATGAAGAAAATTTTTTTGCAAATAGTGATATATCTTCAAATCGCATTTGTGGCAGCTGCTTTAGAGTCCATTCTTTCTTATTTTTTTCTTAGATGAATAGCAGATTTAACAGTTAACGCTGTTAAATCTGCTATTCATCTAAGAAAAAAATAAGAATTAATTTTTAGGTCCCTCCCACTTTTGTTAGAACAATGGTTCAGTCCAAGTATAGGCGGAGCAACGGCAGTGCTGAATGGCACAGGCTCCGTTAGAGCCGGTGAAGTGAGGAGCTAGCTGTTGCTGTAGCTCTGCTGCACAAACAAAAAGCCCTCCAGTTAGTAAATACTTTAAGCAAAAGACAAGTAACAAATTTTATTTACTTTCACTGCTCAATAAAAAGAAGCACATTAGCAAAAATCAGACTGCAGTTCGTTATTTCATTACTTTGATTAGGTTGGTGACACTGAACCAATCTCATATAAGAAACATTTAAATCTTAGTTTGACTTCTATCGGTCTCCACAGGTTGTTTACTGAGAAAAACACTTTTGTTATTCATTACTACTACTAAGTAGTAATTAGCAAAAAAATGTAAACCATATTTGATGTTACATTTTACTGTAACTTTGCCAACACTCCCAAAATTGCTCTTAAAAAATTTTCCCTGTTTTTGGTCCCCCCCCCCCAATAATGAGATGGGATTTACACCCTTGAGTACGTTATTTACATATAGTTTAAGTAACGTGATAACATGGAATTGTTCAAGCAGTACACCTATCTTCACACAGTGTTTTCTTACACTGTGAAATCACTTCAGGCTCTGTTTCTGTTCTTATAGGTCCCAGAGTGTCCAGGCTCATTCTGCCGGCGCTCTCTGCCCCGTAGCCTTTCCATTGAGCGCCTGTCTGAGCTGAACCAGCTGCTGGAAGGTGAAGGAGGACGAGGAGGACTTGCAGTAACAAGAAGGATCTCTCCATCTTGGTTAGATAGTGAAGAGGGGGATTCTAACCTTGAAGGAGGACCCAGGATGTGTAGCAGGACCCATAGACCTCCGGGCGAGAACGAATGTGAGTTCTGCGACACGTCCTGCTACAGCACCTCCTGCTACAGCACCTCTTGCTACAGCACCTCCTGCTACAGCAACTCAGGTTATGAGGGGAGGGGCCGCTTTTGCAGCCACAACCGCCTGTCATCAGTGGACAGCAACCGGCTCTCCGGCAGCACCGTCTTCTCCTCACAGGATGAAGAGGAAGATGAGGAGAGCGCTTTTGAGTCTGTTCCCAACCCGGTCCAGCCTAACTCTCATGATTTGGGTGGGGACAGGGGAGAGAGAAGGACTGGAAGATGGAATGAGGCTAAAAGAGGGGAGCAAGGAGAGCCAGCAGAGGCCGGACCCAGTGACAAGAACTGCATTGGTGAGACTAAACATGAGCTTTCTGTCACCTTTCTCTGTTTTATTCAAAGCCCAAAGTGCAGCATAACTCTGTGGAAATGACACCACTAAACATCTCCATGACAACGACCTTCATTTTTTTAGTTCATCCTGTGAAAGTTCATTAGCATTAGATTAAGTAATACGATATCAGCCTGTAATAAAATTTTACTACCATAGCATTTAAAGGTTTATGATCTGATTTCCCCCATGCATATCATAGAAAAATTATATAAATTGGAAAAAATTCAAACTGTGTGCTTACTCTGACATCGCTTGCAGAAAATGACATTTGTGTGTTTGCAAAATGGAAAAAAATCTGTAAATAAACAAAAAGCAAACCAGGACATAAATACCCAATTTAGAATAAATGAATAAATGAAATGAATTGTGAGTTAATAAAATAATCATTTTTAAATAAATAAACAATATGAAAAAACTTTGAAAAAGAATAAATAAGAAAAAAAGGAAACTGATAAAACAATAAGACTGGAAATAAAAAGGAAAATTAAATAATGGTGATAATGTTAAATAAATTTTGCTGAAAGCAAAACAGTGTAACAGTGTCTGGCTGTCTAATATCATTAGACTGGCTGTCTAATGACCGTATAATCAAATAAGTTGGGAAAGGTTTTCTGATGCAATATTTGGCACATTGCTTTATCAACCCATTTATTTATTTATTTATTTATTTATTTTATATTATTATTGCTAATTATGTCAGGATCCATCCCCCATAGTAGGTGAAGATGTCTTGTTAAAATAAATTAACTTTTCTATTGTCTAATTCATTATAAAAGGCAATATAAAAAATCAGTTTTGCATTTGCACATTTTGTGTTTATATTGTGTTTTGTTTCAACTGATGAACGATCTTGGTCAGTTTATGTATATTACAGGTGAATGTATGGACCGCTGGGCTGTAAATGTATTGCCCTTTGGAGTTGATGAAGCTGTCTGAATCTGAATTAGAATAAAACAAAGGAGGGGAAAAGTGAAAGATTCCATAGTGACTGTTTCCCTGCAGATTGTAGTGAACAGCAGCAACAAAAGAAAAATATTATCAAACCAAAATATCATACTTTCTATTCTCTAGAAAAAAAATATTTTTGCAGTGTGGTTTACGGTTTTATGCTGTAGATCAGAAAAATGTGTACATTTGTAAAAAAAAAATTGTAAATTTTGTTGATTTTGGCTGCTGGCAATATTAAAGGCATTTTTCTATGGATTTTACAAGTTTTAAGATTTTTACAATAAATTTCTCTGTTTTCTACATTTCATAACTGTAAAAATGATTTCAAATTTGGTAATTCATTGAATCTTCCATGGTAATGTTTTTTACAGTCTGTAATTGTTGGCATTTTACAATTTTTAGCACATACTTTATTTATTTATTTATTTATTTATTTATTTATTGTGTAGTTTTCAAGTGTATCCTCTGCAGAAAGTTGAAGTATTAACAAAACTGGAGAAGAGTAGGAGAATGCTGCAGAGTGAGGACAAGTAGAGTGGTCATTATATCCTCCAGCAGCCTAAGTCACTGCAGAGATAGTTCAGGATAGCCTAAGTCTAACTATTACCTTTATCAAAAGGCTTTAAGCCCAGTATTAAAAGAATTCAAGGTGTCTGCCTCACATACTAAGACTGGGAACTGGTTCCACTGTAGAAGAGTCTGTTAAATGACCTGTTCACATTCTACTTTTGGAACTTCCTCATTGGTAAACCTGCAGTCTGAGAGCAAAGGGTTCTGTTAGTAACATTAACTGTTCAGTTTTTTGTGTGGGTTAAAAGTGGGGCTGTTAACCCCACTGTACCTCTAAGTTTGTGGCTTAAGAGCTCCCGTTCTGCAGGAAAACTGCTAAGTTTCTGCTTATGGTCATGCATCTTCTCATCTTCATTAGTGGAAGGCTTCTTGAGTGCTATAATCATCAGATTGTATGAATTACATTTCCATTAACTTGTTTAATTGTCCCACATTCCCCCAGTCTGAGTACTCTCATTCCCATACATACCCCAGATCACATATCCTGCTAGAAATAATATTATAGGGGCTCTTGGAAAAGATAAGTTTAAGTTTAAGATAGTTTAAGTGTCTATTTTGTCACCATGTTCAATGATAATGGAGGAAGGAGTTTCTTGAGTTAAGATCTTTATGACTTCCAAAGTACAGACCCGATCCATGTAGCAAATGCACCTCAGAGGTATTTTGAAGGGCAGTTTGTTACAGCTTTGGATCAGTTCACAGCTTCAATACGTCTTTTCTTCAGGTGTTTGAGAGCAGAATTGAATATGTAGATCAAAAATTGATACATTTACATGATTGTAATAAACTTGTCCCATCTTTCATTAACAACATTGAACAAGAAAAAATAAATTTTAAATAACTGATTTATTAATAGTAATTCCCAACTATATGTCTCTCTGATATCCTGTAGGCTCAGATCTCTCCCCTCCTGTTGGCCATCTTCCAGTACTGCGACCCAGCCATGACCCAAACCATTTTCCTGCTGCCACTGACCCAGCCTTACCTCCAAGTAAGAACCCAGAGCTCCCACTCTTACTCTGGAGTCTTATCCTAAATTCCTGGCATGCTGGAAAATGTGCCTGCTGCCCGTGTGTTTATCCCCCTCCATTTCCTCTGTATTTCACTCTTTATCCTTCTCATCATACATTCTCCTACAACATTGCAAACAGCTTCATTCTGTTCACTGCTTGGAAACTTTACTGGTCTAATTAAGGAGTTTTTTTTTTTTTTTCAAATGTCTGGATCCTGAATTAAATGTGTCCAAAAAGCAAAACTGTAATGCAAAAGGACATTTGTCATTCAAGTCCATCATAGTGGTGTGTTGACTTTGTGTATAGAATAACTCATCTTATTGCTGTAAACATGTAGATTTGTGTTATGGCCAAAGACTTCCACTTAGGTCCAGTCTTTCTAAGAGATTTTCTCCAGCGTTAGTTTCTGTGGGGTGAGCCTTTCTCCTGCCAACCATTTGAATCAAGTTTCTACCAGACAAATAGACTATTTAAACCTTTATTTAAACAGAAGTTGGAACTTTAAAGGGAGAAAGACCAGAAACCAAATTGTTTCTGAATTTACAATGATATCTTATAGACTTAATGTAAATAAATAAATAATTAAATAAATCTTTGAAAACTCAAACTTACGCTTGAGATTTTAGCTGTATTTGGCAGGATGTCAGACTGAATTAACACTATTCCTCAAATGCTCAAATAAATGCAACCTTTAACATAATCTGTTTTACTTGAAGTCAAGTTAAGATTAAGTTCTAAATGTTACAAAGCTCTCAATCCAGAGTACTCAAGTCATTGAACCAAAGCTGTTCTGGTTGGTTGTCTTCAAAGTTTGTGATGTTTAGGAACAGCAGTGTTCCAGTCCAGCTTAGTGGAAGGGGATCCAGAACCAACAACTGGATTTAAATGAGGTTGTCTGCTTTCTCTGCCTTCTCTCTTGCTTCAGACTGGGAAGCTCGTGTTGACAGCCATGGCAGGGTCTTCTATGTTGATCATGTCAACAGGACCACAACTTGGCAGAGACCAAACCATGGTGCCAAGTGCAACCATGCCATCCCTCGCTCGGGTTCTACACAGCAAATGGAGCAGCTCAACCGGAGGTACACTGGGCAAAATTCATGCTCTGTTCTGCTTAAATGATATGCGTGTTAACATATAGGATGATATCCTAAACTGTAGTAAGAAAAAAAGGTTTTTAGGCCTGACAGAAATTTTCACAAACTTTCCTTTTTCATTGTGAATTTTTTTTTTGTATGATGTTTTTAAAGCATTCTTTGAAAAAAACAAAGTAAATTTCTTGGCCTCCTAGTAAGAGGATCAGTATGGATTTTCTGTAGAAAAGTGGAGTCATTATTTCAATGATAGGTCGTATTAATATTATTAAAATGTCCATTCTCCCAAAGTTTGTATACCTTTTCCAGTCCATTCCTTTACCCATTCCAGCTTCCTTCTTTTCCTCTTTGGAAAAAGCCTTTACCAAATTTATATAGAACAATAAACGCTCCAGATTGCGCCTCTCTTCTTTATCTGCCCTATGATCGAGGTGGGTTTAGAGTTCCAAACGTTAAGCTGTACTATTGTGCAGCGTAGCTTTGTGCTGTTACTTGTTATTTTTCCACCAGTGATATACCATCTTGGGTACAAATAGAGAACAACTCATTAACATTACCTTTGACATCCTATCTTTACTCAGCTGAACTTAAACATCTATTAAAAAACACTAAAAATCCTTTTCTCAAAAACACATTAGTTTGGCACCACTCCCATACAATCTTAGATGAAGTGTCTAAGATCTCATGTCTGTCACCTATTTGGGGAAATAATACATTCAAACCAGGAAAACAGAGGGTTTAGAATATGGCTGAATAAAGGCTTAAATAAAATAGGGGACCTTTATAGTGAAGAAGTTTTGATGTCCTTTGAACAACTGGTAAATAAATATGCCCCAAAAGCATTTTTAAAGTATCTACAGATTAGAAGCTTTGTTACTGCCTCATTGAAATCTGCTGCCGAACCTCCACTTTCTACCATAGAGGACATAGCCGTTCACCATAATCAGAGTAGAGGCCTACTTTCCAAATTTTATATTTTACTTTTAGGCTAAAAAAAATGTATCTCATATTTACAAGCATGGAAAACTGATCTGCAAACGGAAATCCCTGAGGATGAATGGAATAACTCATGTCTAATGGCACAAACGCTAACTATTAACACAAGGTTTATACTATTACCTTGTGTGGGTTTTTTGGGGGTGGTGGGAGGGATTGCACTGTATGTCTCTTAATTTTCATCTTTTTTTGTTTTTTATTCATGTTTTTTTTTCTTTGTTTTTGGTATGTTTGTAAAGCATAAAATTCTAATAAAAATAAATTGGAAAAAAAGAAAAGTGGCCTCATTTTCACCCTTCCTCACAACATGTCAGTGTTGTGCCAGAATTATCTGTGAACAATAAAGTATTTTTGTCTATTATTTTCAACTTGTCCCACCTGAAATTTTACCTGATTGGATTTTTCTCTTGCTATATTATTTTAATATCACTTCTGATCACAAAAAAAAAATCAATAATTTTTTGAATAAAAAATAGTTTAATCAACGAAGTGATCATTTATACAGAAACATTGACTTGTACTTAAGAAGTAAATCCTTAGTTGAATTGTCTTCAGGAGATGGCTCTGCCACCTGCTGTGTTCTCTTCATAATCTTAAAGCTTTTTTCACAGTAGTTTGTTGCTGTGAGATTTGCTGTATCTGAGAGGCTACCATTTTTTCTCTGAAGTGCTAACTCCACTTAGTTTCTGGTGTTTCTTATTTTAGGTGAACTGCCCAAAACACCCACCTGCATTTTGGTCCTGTAATTCACCACTTCTTGATATGCAGTGCACATTTCATTCTTTCTGCTTTTGACATGAAGTTACGGTGAATCTTGTAGATACCAGAACATCCAGAGGACCATGGCCACAGAGGAGGATAGTGGGAGTCGGAGTTCAGACGGTGAATCGGAGCCTGATCAGACAGGTACCTGTTTCACCAGCAGTTTAACTGCTTGAAAACATAAATCGAACCCCCCCAAAACGAAGACACGTGACAGGTAAAACTTGCTACAATTTACCCCGTTATGTGCGCGAGGTGAAGGAGCGTAAGGGCGTGCTGAAGTATATGCGAAGACATCATCGGCGCGCCGCCCCCTCCAGATGGGGTTTTGACGCCCCCTTTGGTGCAACGCCCCTGTGCGTTGCATGCGCTGCATACCCACTTTTTGCGCCACTGACATGAAGATCACTTGGCCTATTGGAAGTTGAAACCAAAGCAACATTTAGTGCTTTTACTAGCTTAAAATTAATTGTGTTTAATGTTTGCTGTTGAGTTCTAGCACAGCAGAAGTAAGGTGTCAACTTTCTTGAAAAAGAAAAGTTGTCTTGAAAAATCATAACAACTGTCAGTTTTGGCTTCTAAATCAGCAGGGGCCTCATGCATAAAAGAATGCGCAGTTTTCACACTAAAACTTGGCGTTTTATTTAAAAGGTGTTTCAGGATACAT